ATCGTCAAGCAAGTGATTGTCCTCGGCCTTCTCCGGTTCGGTACTCCTTGTAGCATTCACTTGGGCCTCTATTTCCATGCTTGCGGTGAGCTTTTCCATCAAGAGGCGAAGAGTATTCTCAAATTGTTGCAATGGTTGCAACATAGCATTCTTCAACTCGGCTAACTCTTCTCCTATCCCCTTTTTGATTTCGGTCTTGAGATGTAACAATTGCTTAATTTCTTCATGTATAATCTCTTGACATCTCCTCTCAAGGTCTTCAATCTCATTAGGAAAGTGCGGTGGGTTTTATTTAAGTGATTCATACCATTGGGTGGGTATTTGAGGTGGGTAAACATGTTGGAGTTCAAAGTGATATGGTGGTGGTGGTGAATGATGAAATGGATATGGTGGATATGTTAAGTGGTAGTGGTATGGATAAGGCATGTAATGAAGGTGTTGTTCACAAGTGTGAGGTTGGAATTGGCTCAATGAAGCTCATTTTCCGGGTGGACATTCGTAAGGGCAGGAATCCTTACGTGTTGGTCAGCTCATTTGAAAAAAATTTCCTACAAAAATAGCTTCACCAAACAAGTATACTTGCAACTAGAAGTAGTTGCAAGGTGAGCAAAACATAATATGCAAAGAATTGGTGCCCACTTCCAAGCAAGTAGCAAACAAAGATATATGCAAAAACAAGAAAAACAACAAAAACAAGATGGATTCACAAGGTAAAACAAATGATTCACAAGGGCTACCTAGAACTCTATTGACACATTCCTAGATTTTCATAGTAAGCACACTTCACTCGACACCTATTGCCATCCCCGACAACGACGCCATTTGACGAATGGTTTTTATTAATAGTGGTGGAAGGTGTGTGTAAGTGTAAACGAGAATTGTGAAACCCCCGAGTGTCGAACTCAAGGATGGCCGTTCGGAGCAAGTAAAGTGCAAGACAATCCATTGTCACAATGTATCAATGGATGAACTAGGTGCAAGGTAGGGGTGCTGGTAGTTGTGTGCGGAAGTGAGAAACATAAGAAAAAATGAAAGAAAATAAAAGAAACAAATATGAACAATTAAAACGGGAATTTGGATGGAAATGATATTTTGGTTTGTGCACTCATTGGCCTTAAGTAGACAAGAGTGGGTGTGACAACCCAAACATTTATTTTATAAATTCGGTTTTGAGAATATCCAAAATAGCCAATTTTCACTCCATAAAATTTTTATGAAGAAAATGGTGTTGAATAAATTATTTTAAGCCGTTTTAAATATTACTTGACACCAAGAATGGATTTAAATTTCAATATCCTAAATTTCCGGGTATATTGCGTGCCACGTTTTGAACTAAGAAATGTATCTGAGTGAAACCGGGAGAATTCTGAGGAGCTTAAACTAAGTGTTCATCTAAAAATCATTTTGGAAAAATTCATTTTCAACCCCAAACTATTTAAAATAGCAAATCTAGCCCTTGGTTCATGAAGCTTGGTGGACCACACCACTCCAAAGTTGTCTGATAACACCTTTCTAGCCAAAGTTATTACATTTTTGCCACCAACCAATCATATGGAATCAACCTAGGGTTTTGTGCTCCTATATATTGATCTCTTATCAGACTTAGCCTCTTGTTTCCACCCTTGAGCTCCCCTGCAAGAACACAAGCAAGCACAGTAAGTATTCTTCATCTTTTCCCTTTTTATCCTAGCCTTCCATTTCATCTTTGCTTCCATCCTTCTCTGAGCTTATAAGTTAGGTTGGTTGTATGGTTTGTTAGAGATGTTTAGGAGGTGAAGGGGGTTGTAGCTAGCTGAAAAGAGAGGTGGAAACCAAGCTAGAAGGAGATAAAGCTACAAAGGTATAACCCATGGACTCCCAAGCTTTTTACAAGACTCTGTGAAGTCTTTGATTAGTAGAAATGAGTAGAAATGCTAGATATATGTTGTATTTGAGCTATTAAATAATCTATTACTTGTCTATGATGTGTTGTTGATGTTTTTGATGAGTTAGAAATGCCTGAGCTATTTTTGCAGATGAGAAGAAACCATTTGGTGCACAGACTGTGTGCACCAGTAGGTTGACCGGTTGTAACAACCCGTGTTACGAACCCTAACCCTAACAAAGTATTTAATCACTTACCCTAAAAGGAGAATTAAAAACTCATTAATCAACTAAGAAAGACCCACCATAGTCCATGGGCACACATCCCTATAACCAACCCCTTAGTTCTATAAGGAATAGAATTAGCAAGCCCATAGTGTTTAGACCCCAATTGGGACTCTTAGGAATATATATAAATACAGAGTCATAGGAGGCACCTAGATCTTACACGACAATAATCTCTCACCACACAAGGAATTCCAAGAATCCCCTTTAGGAGAAATCAAGAAAGAAGAAAGCTTAAAGAAAGACCCTTCATAGCCAAGGAAATTAATTATGGCTAAGAGGTAACCCATGTCTCAACAAAACCTATTTTCTTAGCTATGATCTCCCTCTTAGGCCTCCCTCTATATTCTCGTGTCTTGATGAATTCTTCTATGATAGTTGTGTTATGATCTTGTTGATTGATAAGATGATTTATAAGTCTTCTTGATGATCTTGATGTTGAAATGAAGTTTTTGATTTTGATATAATGATTGTTGACGAATCTTGATATTTCTTGATGTTAAAGATAAAGTATGTTCTGGATGGTTTGGGCGGGATTAGAGCCCTAGGATGAATTGGGAATTTGCATTGTGATGTTCTTGATTTATATTTGGGTAGGAATTCGCATGTTCGGGTGTTGTTTATGTTTAGAAGTCGTGATAGGATGAGTCGTATGTGATTCTTGCTTTTGATCCGTTATTTGACTACGTGGTGTCGTTAATTGCGTTTGAAAGTGTCCAAGCATGGTTTCGGGTTCCACAAAGGTCCCTGGGACGAAATTATGGTAAATGAGTCAGTGGGGGGTAGGTGGGGGTAGGGGAACCCGCCACCTACCCGCTGCCCAGAATCACCACCGGGCAGCGGGGAGCCGCCGGGCAGTCGCCTGCCCCCCGGCAACCCGCGGCCGGAACAGTGAATTCCGACGGGCAGCCGGCGGGTGACCCCCACCCACCGGCTACCCGCTGGCCCGTACCCCACCCCCGGGTGTCCGGCTTCCCCGTTTGATGTTCCCCATCCCCCACAGTGTCCCAACGGACCCCGTTTGTCGTGCTCGAGTCTAGTTTGATATTCCGGGTACCATTCGTAGGTTAAACGAGTCTTAGGAATTGCATGCTAGTTGAATCGGTAACCCGTTGGCCTAGGTGGAAGTTGTATGAACCCTTAGGACTATTCTTAGTATGTGAATGATCACACGTAAGATTATTTATATGTCTCTCCCCTCCCAATGTGTTATTATGTGCTCCTATGTGTTATGTGTTGCATGATCCCCCATTTTGGTTATAGACCAATTGGGTGGTTGCCGGGCTAAGGTTCGGAAGTCGGTTGAAGACCGAATGGATATTTCCCGGACTAAGGTTCTGAAGTCGGTTGAAGACCGAATGGATTGATCCCGGACTAAAGGTTCGGAAGTGGCTAAAGGCCAATGGATTGTCCTGGGTTAAGACTCAGAAGTGGCTGAGGCCAAATTGATTTACTTCTTGGACTACAGGTCCAACTATGGGCCTCGGTGCTATGACCCACCGGACCTAAACGCGCTAGGACGGTGTGTAGGGCCAATAAGCCGAGGAAGGCTGTAGTCCACCGACTTGAGTAATCAGGCGGTGTGTAGGGCTACGGCTGACTGCGATCCACCGAATGATGGGACAGCGGTGTGTAGGGCCATAGTCTCCGAGGATCTTCGCCCACCTACTGAGTATAGCTCAGGGGTAAGCCGGTCTTAGATCCGCTATGGTCCACCGACTGTGCGCATCGACGGTGTGTAGGGTCGTATGTCCCCCCTTGTAAAGGGGATCACGGTCCACCGACTGGGTGCGTCAGCGGTGTGTAGGATCGTGATCCGACGTTGAGTTCGTCAACGGTTCTAAAAGGGTTGGTTGCGATCGACTCCCCTCATATCGCGGTATTGAGGTAGGGTGCTGCGGGGCCGTGTTAATGCTATACGCATTAACCCTCATGTTTGGGGCATGCGATTGGTCCCGTGGCGCCATCATTGAGTATGTGCTATGAATGATGATTGAATGATGATATGGTGAAATCGGAAAGGGAACTGTGACCTTTGATGTGCATTTCTATGATGATATCTCTACCTAACTATCTATTACTGTTAACATGCTTACCTCTACTTGTCGAGTCTATTCCCGGTTTTAAAGGCTAGAGTCTCCTAAGTATATCTTCCTCCTTCAAAATGGTTTTCCTATATCTGTATCTATACATATTGTATTTCAACACGTTGGAGTGGGTTACCAGCACCTCTCGCTGAACAGATATATTTGGCTTTCAGGAACAGATGAGTAGACACCGGAGCGCGATAGAGACGTGAAGCGTAGAGTATATAGTTCCCTTTCGGCCTGCATGCCATATCTATGTATTAACATTATTGAGGATCCTAGTTAGTTTTCCTGTGCACTTGGGTTCTCTAGCCCAGGTGTGGCATAGCACCCCACTAGTACAGATTTGTAAATCTGCTACCCTTGTACAGGGCCATCAGCTACCCTTGTACAAGGGTAGCGGATGTGAGGGACGCTGAAAGTCGTGAGCTTTCCGCTACCCTTGTATAGAAGGGTAGCGGATTCTCTTATTTTATTTTATTTTTTAAAGCACATGCTACCCTTCTTTAAACATAAGGGTAGCGAACACTATTAATTTATTATTATATTTTAAAGCATCCGCTACCCTTCTTACAAAAGAAGGGTAGCGGATTATTTAATTATTTAAAAAAAAAATCATTTTAGTTTTAAATCCCCCAATTTTTAAAAAATTCTATACGAAATTCATGCACTACATATAAACATAATACTAATCATCAACACAATATTATCAACAAACTATCAAAACAAAATATTATCAACACAATATTTAATCTAAAACAAAAATTACATGCACTCTTCTAAAAAGTATTTTGCCTATAACTCTCGAATCTCATCAATTTCGTTGGTAGAGTACGAATTTCCTTCCAATGCCTACAAAATAATTTAGTTTATCAAATTACTAAATATGTTAATTAATAATAAAATATAATTTAACTACTACAAAGCAAAATGTCATTTATGACTCATTAGTAATTCCCAATTTCATTAGATCATATCCAAGCAAACTCCCAAGAAAGCATGTTTCAACTCCATAAAGTTATGTGGAACCTATGCAGACTAACACCCAAGAGTATCAATACTATCCTAACTTATTATTGTATAACCTTAGCTCCTTGTGGGTTTAACATGAAAAACTTCTAAATTCAAGTTCATTTCTTTAATGAGAAAAGATAGCTACAGGAACAACATACTAAAATAAACCACTGACCCATATTGGATGACATCAGCTTCTCCACGAGCAAGTCCCCGAGAAACAGCATCCTGAAAGAGAGATTAATTCTTAAATGAGAACGGTTGTTTGAAAATAACAATTTATGTCTTAAATCTGTTCTAAGAATAGGATCTTCTTCCAGTATTTAAAGATGATTAGTTTAACAGGTAAATGGATGCCTTAATGATATAGAGCCGTCAAGTTTCTTCTTCTCCAGCAACCATATATGCGGCAAACTCTACTGCTATTTCTTCTGTAACTGGCTGTGTGAGGTTAACAGGTTCTCCTTCAACACCAGCAACAATAACACCACGTATATCATTGCAAAGTACAATAAATATCAAAGAGAAATCACTATTTTTATGAAACTGCTCATGTGAATGCATCCGTAGAAATGCTGCATTGTTGGTCATCCAAATATACATATATCACTACTTGTAACTGATCAAGTAAATTTTTTTCACCATATTGTGTTACATAAATGGCAGATGTCATGCAACTCGTGAAATACAAGCATAAAACAATAATTGAAACAAAGAGATCAAATAAAGAAAAGAAGAGAAGGACAAATCAGCAAAGCAAAGCTAGATACCTGCCATTCTGAAGCTTAAGAAAATCAGTTTTTTCACCAGATGACACAGCTGTGTTAGATGGTGCAGCTGCATCAAAATTTAAATTCATGAATATGATGTGTGGTTGATGAGATATCTTCTATTGGATGCAGGAACTATATATCAATAACCATCATTTCTATCATAGGAAGGAACTAAGTATATATCAGTAAGGATAATAAGCAAAGAGGTGTTAGTAAACAATCAAATATTCAAAGGGATTGGAAACCTATTATTGAATCTGATATGAACTTGAATAGTGAGATTCCAGAACAGACAATTGCAATAAAATTTTCCTCGGTTGCATGGTGGAGTTGCCATTCCATGCCAACTTCCCTACTAAAGGGGAAAGAAAGTCATGCCTAATAAGATCAACATGGTCCTATTGCTACCAGAGTATGTTGGACAACCTTCCCCGATAGTGCTGCATAAAATTTGAAAATTTCAACATTGTAAGATTTCTGATTGAAAATGACTGGAATAGTGTCAAAATCATTGTATTATTTTGATGCATAATTTAAAAGAACATGAAGATGCAATTTATACAAAATTATAAATCCTTTTAACCATTTATACTGTAAGGCTACAAAACAGAATCATTGACAGCTATGTATGAAAAGTATCAATGCTTGTTGGACTTTCACAGTAATACTTTTGGAATCTAGAAAAATACAAATTAGAATATCAATGTAGTATTTATGAAGATAAGTAGACAGTGGTATGTCAGAAATTATATAATTCACCTAGCCATTTATACTAAAAGGATATAAAGCATTGTGTCTTTGACAGATAAGTGGTAAAAGTATCAATGGTTGCTGGAATTTCAGTAAGAAGATAACAACATTTACAGAAGCAAGAAAATCAAGAAAAATACTGCAATATTTATGAAAACAAGTAAACAGCTTAATAAAGCACAAGACTAGAAGCTTGCCGCTGCCCTGCCCGAATGCATTATCAAATATATCAATGACCACAAGATGGTGTAAGCAAAAGACTGAATGAGGGAAAATGTAAAAGATTTCTAAAAAAAATGATACTAGTATTCGGTATGTTTGATGCAGGATAATATTCTTTTATAAGTTCAATTCAAGATAAGAATATAAGATGAATATCAGAACTCAGGTCCATATCTCCATTCCAGTTCAAAGAATAAAACTTTAATAGTCTTACTAGAAGCAAAGTGAAGATAACCTTACCTGAACCAGGTGCACACCCTCTTCATATGGTTCGGGCTCAATAGTAAGTATGATGTTAATTGTAGTATTAACTGGTTTCCACAAGTAGATGAACAAATATTACCGTCAAAATGTCGAATAGAACGTCTAATGACTTTCTTGGCACAGCCTTCACAATGCAAATCGGCCTTTAAAACGACGGTGGTTGCCTTCACAGTGGCGACGCTGCTGCCGCACTTTTTCTCCCCACCTTCCTTCTTCGGTTCTTCTTTCTGGAAAAAAAAAAGGATGAATCTAGCTTTGAGCATTGAATGTCATATATATGACGAAATACAATGGCAGAGATTCATACGATAGTTAATTAAGAGCTAAGAATTACCTAGCCCATGGCCGGAAACGTGTAGGCGTCGATGGGAGTGGCGGAGGCGTCGGCAGTACGTGGAGGCATCGTTCACTAGTACAGATTTGTGAGTGTTGTTTATAAGAAACGGAAGAAAAGAACTCTAAAGTGATACATTTATCAAACTCCAGAACATCCGCTATAACCCGTCAAAACATATATAAATTTCATGACTTCTGATTACATAAGCATTTAAGTTCATATCAAGCTGGTGCTAAAAGTACAGAATAAAAATACTGCAAGTCTCATAAGCAAATTCAGAATGCATTGGACCATGTCTTTATTTGACACATAAACCCTACAGTTGTAGTCTAACAAGTCCTTAGTTCATTAAAGGTATAGGGGCTAGCAGTTTAGAGTTCCTCCTTCATCCTTACTTGAGTTAATAAAATAAGCAGAATAGAGTAGTTGAAATACAAACTACAAAATCATAGGCTAATCCTAAAAAATGACATAAACCTAAAAAATGTGTTTGTACTTAGTAAAGTATGTAGTACTTGGTTTGGGTTAAACAATGTGTTAAAAAAGCTCAAAGAGAACATATTTTCTGAGCAGTAAATACTCTGCAACATTCAGGATTGCCATTAAGTGAGTTTGCAACAACAAATCTAGCCGGATCATGATCCATCCTTCACTAACATCTCAAGGCTAAACTCAATTAAATTATTAATTAGCAGCTATGTATCTCGTCATCTCGATCTGTACATACCGGCCAACTAGTTTTCTGACAGACTCTTCCTATGAAAAAACATATATATCATGCAAAATGGACAAAATGAAATGAGACAGAGAAATAAGTAGTGACAAATAAATTTTGGAAAGACAGTGGGTATCCAATAAATAAAAATAAAGAATGAATGAATGAATGAGGCAGGCTGTAGGCTGTAGCTTCTAACCTCATTTCATTTTGCTGAAATCTACTTGAATTGGTCCTCAGAGCCACTAACTACTTCTGGTCTTGTGCCTCTTTAACAGATATTTCAATGTATCTTTCTTTTTCTTTAATTTGTGGATTGTGGATGTACGACTTCAATTTCCCAACCCCAACATCTTCTACCATTTTTATCTATGAAAACAAATGAGGTTAAGAAAAAATTAAATAATACGGAGTAATAGATTATGCACACAATTAAGTTCAGCATCTAATAAAAAAGAAAAAAAAAGAAATTAAGAATGAATGAATGAAAGAGTCATAACTTCAATTCTAACCTCAGAATTTGCCTTTTCAACATCTTCTATACACTCTACTATATTTTCAGGCCCCTGCCCCTGAGATGATGAAATGATTAAACGAAGCAGCGGCTGGAGCGGTGGTTCGAAGCAGCGCCGGCGACCCTGTGGCGGTGGAGACGGCGGATGAGGTCGTGGGGCGGTGAATCGACGATGAGACGGTGGTCGAGGCCGTGTCCTCGCCGGAGATGCGGCGAGTAGATCGAGCGAGATGTCGTGTCCTCGCCGGCCGCGAGGTTAGGTTTGCAGAAGCGCGCCTTGGTTGTGAGATTGAGCGGTGAGAGGATGGAGAACGCGTTGTAGGAGGGTTATGTTTTTTTAATTTAATTTTTTTTTTAATAATATCGTTTCTGCTGCCCTTTGCTACGCGAAAGGGCAGCGGAAATTCTTTCCGCCTTCTTTTTTATTTTTAAACCGCTACCCTTCTTTTAGAAAGGGTAGCGGTTTCTTATTCATTTAATTACAATTATACCACCGCCCCTTTTTTAAAAAAATAATACACTACCCTTGTTTAAAGAAGGGTAGCTTAAAGTAAGATTTCTTTGTTCTATTCTGTACTAGTGCCCCATACTCTTATATTATGTTTCCGGGATTTTGTAAGGATTACCTTTATTATATAAGTTTTAAATGTTCTAAAATTCTGGGGTGTTACAGTTGGTATCAGAGCCTAAGTTTGACCCTAGGATAAGACTCTTAAGACCAGACTTTAGGAAATTAGACTTGAACTCTAGGTATTCAGGGACATAAGACTCAGGAATCTTAGGACGCGCAGTGAGATTGTGAGCCTACCCACCACCATCACATAACATCCCACCACCCTATCCCTCAGTAACTTAAAAGAATTTCTCTTCGCTTATCACAGCAAGGTAAGGGAACGACCCTCTAAATCAGTGTAAACATTGGTTCTATAGATCAGCAACATGGCACCGAACAGAAGACAATCAAGGACTCCAGAACCCACCACACACGACCCCCTGGCTCAAACCCTGCAGCAACTCACCCAGGTCGCCCAAGCACTAAGCGACGTAGCCCTCCGCAACAACACACCACCACCGAACCCAAACTCAGAAGTCGCCCGACAGGTCTCGAACCATCAACCACCCACGTTCTCGGGCGAAGAAAATCCCGCCATCCTCGAAGAATGGATACGGACCTTCGACAAAAATTCTGGGGTTGGTAGAATGCCCAGAAGAACGCCGCGTGGAGATAGCCTCGTTCTACTTTGGACACGAGGCAGATCTTTG